GAGAGGTTTCAAAAAGAGGAAAAGGAGGGTTCGAGGTGGAATCACAACCCCCCCCCGCATTGTTGCCCAGTAAATACCTGCTGTTGGCGTGTGCGGATCCTGTATTCATTCAACTCATTCCCTCCCGCCCTTTCCAATCCTCCGCGTGTCTCCCCTCCCTCTTCCTCCTCCTCCTCCTCCTCCGCCTCCTCCTCCTCCTCCTCCGCCTCCTCCTCCTCCTCCTCTTCCGAAAACAGAGCCACCTTCAGAATAATCCATGAGGCCTGAAGGACATGTTGACCTGTCGTGTAACAGTAAAGGCCGATAACGTGATAAACTTTTCCGACCTGCCCACATTTGCAGCCATTTCCCCACCGGGCAAGTGCAACTCACGTGCGATGTGTGCGATTATGAGCTCCCCGGGCAGCAACCGACAGTCGAGCTGCGCCGTGCTCAAGATGATCCCATCGTTGTCCCCTTCCTCTCCTCCTCCATAATGGTAGAAGTCATGCTGCAGAGGTGGATCGTGGCCGTGGTACATGGTGTGGGCCGCTCGAAGCGAGAGAGCGCGAGGACAGCCACGCACCCCCCTCCAAGGCTCTGTTCTGTTCCAGAACCCTCAATTCTGGACAGACAAGGCCCTGTGCACGCAGGTGGACAAGGTTGAAGTGTCAGAGTTGAGGCGGCAGCATCGTACTCCGTCTGGCAAAGCGCGGGCAACGCGTAGGAAGCCACGGCGTTTCCTGCAAGTGCATTTTTCCAAGGACGAGCAACCGATCGACTCGATGAGCTTCTCGATGCTTCGCTTTTCGAGGGAAGATACATCCACTTGAACGCCTCGCAAGGACACACGCGGTCTCGCACAATGCATGCAGGAATTCGATGTTGTCTAGCAGGTGAAGAAACAGTGTGGCATGTGTCTGTGCCGATTCATGTGGGGCTGGTCGGCCCAACTTCTTGCGACCACCGCGCTTAGCAAACCATCTGTACGTCATGCCGCTGCCCTCTCAACAGCAACTTTACCTTGATTTTTTGATTCCAACGTCCACGACCGACATAGGTACCATGAGACGACATGGCACGGACATTAAAATGTTTTGGGCACCTGTCTTGGTAATCTCATTGATGGTGGCACCGGCCAGCACGTGGGGCTTCTACCTCCTCCCAGTCTCCTCCTTGCTCAACGGGCGGTTGACTTCCAGACCGCCGTCCACCGCCCTGGCATCCCAGCAGCCACCTCCATCGGGCCGAGATAGCGGAGAGTACATACCACAGTCCTACGGGTTGGAAGAGGAGGCGGAAGATCCCTACCTCGTGTCCCTCAAGCGTGGCGAGCCTCCTCGTCGGGAGGCTGGCGTTGGTTCCACGAGTGCATCGCCCGTGGGACCTTCGCACGCTAGCCAGACACGGACGCCTGAGGAGATCAAGGCCTTGAATGAGGCGGCCAAGGCACGCATGGAAGCCTACGCGCGGGGCGAGAAACCGCCCGGATTTGGAGCATCCCCGCCTGTCCCTTCTGGTTTCACCCCCTCCACCCCCAATACCCCGGAGGGTTTTAACCCCAACAAATTCATGGATTTCTACCGGGAGCACGAGGCCAAGCTGGCGGCTGAAAACGCCGCAAAGGCCGCCGAGACCCCGGCGCAAGCTGCAGTCCCTCGACCTCAAGGAGCCCCTATCATGCCGGGCGTGCCCGAGCCTTACCAACCTCCGCCCCAATACCAACAGCAACCGTCCCCCGCCCAACTCCAGGCACAAGAAGAGCAAGCAAAGGGCTCTCCCCAAAGCTACGAGTCTCACGGAGGTTCCCGGTTCAAGGGGGTTTTTGACGCGGCCGCCGCCGCCGGATCCACGAATCCGGCCAAGGAGAGGTTGAAGCAGTACCTGCTCTCCCGCTACGCCCCCGACGATATGTCCGAGCAGGCCGTAAATTACCGACGGCTCATCCAATTCGCGGACACGGGCGGCGGGTACTCGGGCTCGTCGACGGAGGACTCGGACGAGGCCTACCTGGCCCAGCTCAAAGCGGACGCTCGGGAGAAGATCCGCAACAACCCCTGGCAGACGGTGCGGAGGGAGGAGCTGGCCCCCTCCGAGAAAGGCGTGCCCCTGCCCCCCCTGGCCCCAACACCCGAACCCACCGGGACCCAGGCAGCAG